TTCAATATTATGTTTAAATAATTTAAACAACTTTTATTAACTCTATTTAAGTGAATGAATATAGACCCATAATTCATATGGATTGAAAATCATTATTCCGACTCAAACCTTAACTCAACTCTTCAAGAAAAAGAAGAATAATAAAGGAAAAAGGCATAAGAGACTCTTAGTGTTTGGAGGCTTCAAAACGTTCCTAAGGATCCTCAAACTTAAGCACTAGTAGAGTTGGGTAAATGCTCTTTGTTTTCTCCTTCCTTCTTTTCTAATTTCAAACACTGATAGCAAAAGTTTGACCATGCATCATGGCACACTCTCCACATTTTACTGTGCATGGTATAAAGAGGTTCAACCTTCATAACTTGCTATATATGCATTGTGACAAATTTGCTGCATGCTGCAGCATGTGGCACAGAGACTTCTTTTTAGATTTTCTCCCTTTTTAATGCATGGATGACTCGACTTCACTTTGAGCCTAAATTTAAGGTTGAAATCATGGCCAAACACATTCATTAGATCTCTCTGGCCACACACAACATCAATCCAGTTAATTACCCCAATTAGGCTTAATTAATCATGGTTAAATTTCTAGGATGTTATATAATGCTACAAGATCTTAAGTGTTATCAATAATTCACAAATTACAAGGGTTGTGACCTTTAGGACAAAACAAAATAATTTCAAAAGTCCTTAGGGTCTTTTAGGAATTAGAAAACAAGTAGATGGGATATCTTATATACTTCGATAGCCAGATGTCTAGCTCTATAATTTCTAATAAAGCCTTAAGGTAGGGAGATCCTCTCTCTTCATTCTTATACATAATTGCAGCTAATGTTCTCTCATGCCTTATTACAAAGAAGGAAATTGAGAAACAATGGAGGGGGATTAAAATTTGCATTAGTGCAACTTCAATCTTGCATTTGCTTTATATTGATGACTCACTTTTTTTTTTCTTTGAGTATACTGACAGTAACATATGCATTGATTTTCTAGCAAAGTTAGGAAGGTCTACTGATTCAGAGATTATGTTGATACTTAGAGTTCCTCTAGGATGTTTGAGGCAATATTTAGAAGATAAGCAACATGCTAGTTAGTGTGTTCCTTATTTTATTTTTTGGTTTTAGGCTTGTTCTTAGTTTTTAGTTACTTTATTTTGTCTTTGAATTACAAAGGTTATCAACACCTATTGTATGCCGTCAAGACAAGAAATTAGTCAGCAGAAATCATCTTTGATTGTCATCCAAAAAAAAAAAAAAGCGAGTCAGTCTAGTACAAGGAACCAAAAACCTTAAATCAGTAAAATATTATTATCAAAACCCCATTCCCCCTTTTTCTTAACTTTGTGAGTACAGTTTGGTAATTAAAATATGTTTCTATTTTCAATCATGTTTTTCTTATATTTTAATTCTTTGGATTTTTTTATTATTTTCTTAATATTTTCAATCATATTTTATTAAATTATTTTATTTTATTATGATCAGTCTAATTTTAGTTTAAACCCAGTTTGACCCTAGTTGAACTCCTAATCTATTATATGGATTTGCCCAAAAAAAAAAACTATTATATGGATTGATTTTGAGTATCTAGGTGCTCTGCAGATTATATAAGATAAAAAATATTTTATTCAGATATGTCTGCCATTAATCTACATCTAAATCTCCAATATTAAGTAAATATTCTGGGATTGCATTGTTGTGCAATCTGATTTTTTTATTTTTAAAATAAATTTTTACTTTTAATAAAATGTATATATATTATATAATATATTTAGCGATAAGCAAAATGAGTATTGTAAAATCTGACTTTTATATATAATTAATTTTTTAAATACTATTTAATAAAATTTTTAAAAAATGGTATAGTGAATGAGAATAAAAAATTAATAAAATCACCTTAGAAAAAAAAAAGATGAAGGTGAGATAAGATTTACAATAAAAAATGGGAATGGGTTTATTGAAATGGTCAATCTATTAATTTAATGAAATTTATTTATTTTTTAGAAAGAGAGTTAGCAACTTAAGCATATGAGGCCTCTAACTCAAGTCCCTATGAATGCAGAAAATGTAGTTGAGAGAGCTACTTTCAATTGGGCTCGACAATAATCAAATTTAAACCACAAGATAAAGTGTAAAAAATATATTTAAAAAAGAGGAAAGTTTCATAGAAAATGATGGATTTCAACTTCATTATACCTGTGCATAACTTTTAATTATAAGGGATAACAAAAACAATAATGATTTATCTAATAAAATAATATAAATCAAATCCTAATCTATGAGTGTAAGGGATAACAAAAATAATTTAGATTTATCTAGATATTTTATTTTATTAGAAAAAAATAAAATCCAAAATAATCCTCAAAGTATATTGAAAAGAAAATATAATTAAATCATAAATAATCTAATAAAATAATCTTAAATATATCAAATTAAAATAATTAAATCTCATCCATATCCCATCAATTTCTCTCCTAAAAAAACAGCCACACTCCCCCACTTTTTTGGGGAAAATTTTTGAATCAAATTAAAGTGTGAGACCAATATAGTCCTGGAAATGTAACAATATTATTGATGGTAGAGTTTCCACCCGAAAGGGACTCATCCCGTCTAATCCTGATTAGTTTAGACTCTGTTAAAAGTTTCCTCAGCTTCGACGTGGATCAAATTTAGGATACCATATATGCTCTATGCGGCAAAAACAAAAAAACAAAAAACAAAAACAAACAAACAAACAAAGTGTGAAAGCAACAGAATTTCAGAACATTTGAGTCATCTTTACGTCGAAAGCTCTAAAAGCATGTTTTTACTTTTTTATATGATTGCTGTCGTTAGGTTTTGAGAGGTTTGAGTCATCTCTACGTGTGTGTGTGTGTGTGTGTGTAATGATGGATTGCAACTACCTTCATTGTTAGACTGACTGAGACTTCCCTATTCTTCTAGAGAAAACTACTTCTTACTTTTTAGTGTCCCTTAGACAACAGTATCCACTTCTTCAAAAATAAAAATCATAGTTTAAAAAATATTGATTCGGGCTCGAATTTGAGTTTTGCTAATTAATAAAACAATAATGATTGGGTTGACTATAGTAGAAGACTCGACACTCCTTAAATAAGATATCAAGTTAAAGCCTTAATTAGATTGAAAATGTTTTTGTCGAGAGAGCTTTCTCTTCATTCAAATTTGACCATGTTAACACGTGGGTCATGATTTGTTACCAAAAAAAAAATTTATATGAAAAGAATGTTTTAGGAAAGAAATTAGGATATCCAATCTCATTTCTCTTAGGAAGCTTTTGGATTGAGGGATTTAAATTTAAAGGTATAAGGTTGGCTAACTAAGATTCAAAGTAGAAACAAAATATTGAGAATGATAAACTTACTTTGCTTGTTCAATTGGTGAGAGAGATGAGGATGAGAGATGAGATGAGAGACAATAGTAACAAAAACACTGATAGTGAGAGCATAAAGAAAACAAGAGAGTGAGAGTAGCTAAAATTTTAAATAACTAGAATATCTAAAGGAAGTTAGAAATTACAAAGAAATTGATAATAAATTAAGAATTTGGATTTGGAACAAAATCATATCAATAAATTTTAATCTATCCTAATGACAAATTTAAATCAAACCCACATTAAATGATTTAAATTAACACACACACACATTTGTGCGCGTGCTACGCGGGGGGAAATTTAGGTTTAAAATTTCCCAATGTGTCTTGACATATTTTATCCACAAGACTCGCCAACTTCTTACTTTGAGACTTTCAACTTCTTCAAAGTGAATTTGTTTTATTCCTAAGTTACTTCATTTTTAAAGCATTTTGGTGACGAGGTAGCACACATTTGTCAATGGGGCTTTATCCTATTTTAATTTCTTTAACTTTTTCTTCATTAAGAAAAGAAAACTTTTGTATGCGTTGTAAATTAAAATAATACTTATTGCAACTTTACTTTATATAGGTTCATCGTGCAAGATTTCCAATTCAAAGTATAATATTCGCTTTAAATTTATTTCCTCGATCAATCCATGATTCCTTTCATTTTCTTTTGAAATAATTGTTAGATAACGACAGTAATTGTAGTAGTGGTATTGATAGTCCCTTTAGTTGATGGCAAAATAATAATAATAATAATAATAATAATAATAATAATAATAATATAATAATAATAATCCCTTTAGCTTATTTTTGTTTACGTACAAAGGTGCAGGAAATATTAGAACATCTTTTCTTGGATCAAACGTCAATGGAAGAATAACAATTAAAGTCCTAAGATATTAAATTAATGACAATTAGATCCCGACAACTTTTTTTTGTAAAATAATGAATAGTAAATCTCAATTTAAACAATTAAAAATTAAAACATAAATTCCAGATACAATCTGAGAACTGCATTTCAGATTTCAATATCTTATTTACAATTGAAATTTTTGAATTTGTGCTTGTCCCAATTGATATTTATAATTTATTTTTAAAAATTATTTATTGAGAACTTATTGTTATTAATTCAAAGTTTTGAAACCTTATGTCCTATTTCAAGGTTAAAAAAGAATTCCCTTCACTACACACACCATTTTAGCTTATTAATTAGTAATAAAACTAATTTGTTTTAATTTTTTTATGCTTTGCGTCAGAAAGAAATATAAATAATGTCTTAAAATAAGATTGTCATAGAAAGATAGTTGTCGCAATTTTTCTTTTTAAATAATAAATGTATTGAATCACTCAATACTGCAAGATTAGTCAATTTAGGTAATGATGACCTATATGTAGAGTGACAAGTGCTGACTAACTATAAGGAAAATACAATTCTTTCCATCATTATTATTCATCATTGGTATATCATTACTCATATACCTTAATAATTACTCATATCCAAAATGGTTATTCAAACTCGCCATAATCATGCACTAACTATTAACTAATTATAGTTATGATTGTGGACTCTTTATATATATATATATCGCTTCATATCAAAGCTTTCTTCTACATCCTTCAAACCAAAAACAAAAACCAACAACACTCACTACCCCCATCATGTCCCTCTCTCTCCTCAATCCCTCTCTCTCTCTCCCCTTCTTCTTCGTCGTCTTCTTCTCTTCGCCATTAAAATGCATTCTCTCAAGAACTCTGCAACACGACTCGTTCCCTTCAATACTCACAAAAGTTTCCGTAGCCGATGAACGGAGCTTCCAACGGCTCGTCGAAGCTTCAAGAGGCAGTAAAGTAACTAGCATTTCACATATCAAAAGATACTTTTCACGTTTTGGCTATCTTCCATTGCAGAACAACACCAGTTTCTCCGATGTTTTCGACAAGGGATTCGAATTGGCACTTGTCCGGTACCAGCGAAACCTTGGCCTCCTTGTCACCGGAAAGCTGGACTTCGCCACGCTCAATCAGATCGTGATGCCAAGATGTGGCGTGCAGGACACGGTGCATGATCACCATTATCATGGATCCCATTCCACAAGACATTTCATGTATTTTCCGGGAAAGCCTCGGTGGGCACGTTCGATGCCGATGACTCTCACGTACGCCATCTCGCCAGAAAATATGATTCAGAACCTGAGCTTACGGGAGATAAGAGAAGCGTTTAAACGTGCTTTCTCAAGGTGGGCTTCGGTGATTCCGGTGAGCTTCGTGGAGGCTGAAGACTACGGTTTTGCAGATATCAAAATAGGGTTTTACAGTGGCGACCATGGAGATGGAGAGCCATTTGATGGAGTCCTCGGCGTGCTAGCTCATTCATTTTCGCCGGAGAGCGGGAGGCTCCACCTGGACGCGGCAGAGACGTGGGCGGTGAACTTCCGGTCTGAAAAATCGCCGGTGGCTGTGGATTTGGAGTCGGTGGCGACACATGAGATCGGGCATTTGTTAGGGTTGTCTCATAGTACAGTGAAGGAGGCTGTGATGTATCCAAGCTTGAAGCCGAGAGATAAAAGAGCAGAACTGAATCTGGACGATATAAAAGGAGTTCAATCTCTGTATGGATCAAACCCTAATTTTAGATTCGAATCTTCTTTAGAATCTGATATGTCTGCGAATGAAGCTTCGGATTTGGGCGGGAAATCTTTGTGGTTTGTTGGTTTCGTCATGTTTTCTTTAGTTCATATTTTTTGTTTGTGTTATGGTTTTTTGGGGTTTTTCTTTTTAACTTTTTGATTTTTAAGAGCATTGGGTTTTAGAGAGATACTCTATGAGTGATGATGTTTGGTAAAATATATAGCAGAATAGTGCTGGCCTAAAAAAAAAAAAAAGCAGGATAGTGTATATAGATTAGAGATTAATGCGTTTATCGACAAAGTCTAAGGCGAAAGACTTCATTGGTGATTGTAACATGATTTTTCATTATAATTTTTAATAAATTTTTTATTCATATAATGTGTATTTCTCAAGAAAGAATTATAAGATATTTTTAACTAAGGGTTAAATATCAATTTAAACCTTGAACTATAGGTTTAGAGGTTATTTAAATCCTAGACTTTATATTTTAAACCCTAAACAATTAAAGTTAGAGTAATTTAATCCTTACCGTGAACTTTCAATAAACGTCTGTCAAATTCATTTGGAAAAATTGCATTTAGGCCCCACCTTAATAGAAGTTTGTTGAAAGTTAACGATAGGAGTTAAATTGCCCCAACTTTAATTGTTTAGGATTTCAAATATACTTTTTTAAAAATGTAGGGTTGGAATAGCCTCTAGACCTATAGTTTAGGGTCAAAATTGTATATTAAACCTTTTGAATTTTAAAAAATGCACTCTAATCAATAATAATTCAACATTAATCAAAAAAGTGTATTTTGCATATTATATTAATTTTTAAAAAGATTTTGAGGAGTGTGTAAGTTTTTTAGTTTGAATTGATTAATAAAAGTGAATGTGTAAGTTTCTTAGTTTGAATTGATTAATAAAAGTAAAAATTTATAAAAAAAATCACATGCATTTATAATAAATAAAGAGACAGAGAAAAAAAATGTATGAAGAGAAATTTATTTTATATTTTTCCTTGATAAAGAATGATAATTTTTTTTACTGATATTATTATGAGATTTTCTTACACAAAAGAATAAATAGGAAAAAATATGAAAGTGCGCTTATAGCTAAAAATTATGTTACACTCCTATTATTGTTATTGATTGCCTATCAAAACCCACTTAATAAAAACAAAAATAGTCAACTTAATACTATCTCATTCATACTCACCATGATTTCCACCAAAAACTTTTTTACTTATTATTACAATTTACAACTTTTTTTTTTATATAGTTTCATCATTATCATCATCAACATCATTTACCCCTTTTTAATTCCTTTTTCTTATATCCTGAAAAATCTGTAACATTATCAAGGGTTAATATGCAATTTGAATCTTGAACTATAGGTTTAAGGGCGATTTGAATCCTAAACTTTTAAAAAAGGTGCATTTTGAACCCTAAATAAATGTCTATCAAAGTGGGTTTAAAGTGTAATTTTTTTTAAATGAATTTGATGAATATTTGTTGAAAGTTAATTGTAGGGGTCTAATTACTTCAACTTTAATTGTTTAGAATTTAGAATACATCTTTTTTAATTTTAGGATTTCAATTGCTCATGGACCTATAGTTCAAGGTCCAAATTGATATTTAACCCTTCAACTAATTTACATGCTCAATGAGTTCATTAATGACATTTAGATTACCTATTTGTTTATATTTATCTTTATTTAATATAATGTCTTAATTAGAAAGCTTTATCAATTACACTTTTAATTAAGGACGTTTTTGAAAAATCTTTATTTATCAGGTAAACATTTCAAAATACTTTATATTTTTAAACGTGATACTTTTAAAAAGTATCTTATAATATTAAAGGAAGAGAGTATCAAATTAATTAATTAATTGTGGTTTCAAGAGGCTTTTGTTTCAGGTTTAGATAAATGCGTTGGACGGATTTGGTTCGGGTTCCTTTTCAGTTCATTAATTACTTGTTTATCAATGAAAGTTATAGTATATATATAGTTTCTAATTAATATGGTATTGTTTTCGGCTCACAATTAATACATATCTTAAAATATCTCCCGTTTCGATAATTTACATTTACAAATAATAATAATAATAATAATAATAGCTGCATATCCAAAGAGATGGAGGAAAAAAATGTGAGTATAATCATGAAATGTGATGAATTGATTGGATAATTTATTTAGAGTATTTATATTTAATTTATACAAATTAAATCTGATTTTTTTTCAAAATGATTTGTCATAGACATCTTTCCTCAAAATGTTTTGATTATCTTCGGTGGAACCTGATTTTGATTCAGTGGTGTGTAAGATTTTTACAGAAAATGGTACAAAAGGATTCATATAAAATAATAATTGTCTTAAAAAAAATCTAAAATTATCAATTTTTTGAACGATCAAAGTTATTATTGTTATTACTTTTTAAAGTTATAACTATTTCTTTCTTAAAATATAATTTGATCCTTAATTTTCAAATATTATATAAAATCGTTTTAGATTTCTAATTCATAATTATTATAAGAAGCATGACTTTCAAATTTAAAACCATAATTTTAAAATTACAAGTATAATTAATTATTTATAAAATTTTTAAACTAATCCTTCCATATCAATTAATATATCTTCATACACGGTCTCCTGATATTATCTTTTGCCCAAGAAAATCCCTATACTAAAACTTATAGCTTATAGGCAGGGACATGGATTTTCTCCTCTTCATTTCCATACTATTGTATTCTTTTTTCTTTATAGCTATTAAATCAAGATTTAAATGATTTAAATTTGATGCTATAAAATTATTTTTAATATATTAAATTAAAAAAATATAAATAATATAATTCAAACTACTAAACTTTAATAAAAATTTAAAAATACAGTAAAAATAAAATAAAATGAAATATTTTGAAGGAGATTAAATCTAGATTATCCAAAATCTGAATCTAATATTAAAAATTAAGAAGAGGAGGAAAAAAGGGTGGAAAGAAAGTCTGCCAGTAAACACTTTCTTTTTTAAAATTTAAATAAAAAAAGTGATAGGTATTTTTGGATTGGTTTTGTTGTTTGGGCTTTACATTTTTAAAAATTTTTACCCCACAAAACTAGAATCGTATCCTTTAAATACACGTGCTGAATGAGTTTGGGCTAATGGGCTTGCTAACTCATTTTTTGTCCCTTTTTTTTTTAAAATTTTTGTCCCATTTCTAACACCTATAAGTATATAATTCCTTTACATGAAGCCCACTGTAATTTTTATGACATATGGGAAATCAAATCTATTATTGGAATTAAGGACTATAATTGATTAACTTGAGACAAATTTAATCGGTCCCCGTATTTTATTATTATTCTTTTTTAAAAAGATCCCTAATTTTAGGGACTTGTAGTTTTCATTGTTTGCAAAATTAATTCCCTATAATCCGATGGGGAATGTCATTATTTAAGTCTCAAGATTCTTTTAATAATGGATATTAGGTCTATGATTTTTTTATAAAAGAAAATGAGTTGCAAATATAGAGTTAAATAGTTGCAAACAAAAATTTTAATTATAAATTAAGAGTTGTATTTGAAGCTTAAATGCTTTATTTGCAATCAAAACTCTTGAATTTATAATTGTTTGAATTTATATTTGTAACTCATTTAAAAAACTTACCAAGAACGTAACTATTTTTACATCAATCTTTTGTTTCTAATTATCATCTCCCTAATCTAATACTGTATCCCATTCATGTTGTGAAAGACATCACCTTTTTGCATAAACATAAGCCAATTTGCTAAAAAGCCAAAATAATTTGGCACTTTTTTTATAATATAATATGGAAATCTGGATCAATCCAACCAATTGAATTGGTAAACCATTAAGCTAATGTCATGACTATTTTGTTTATGATTGGTTTGATTATGATTCACCTACAGTTTTGACCATTAACCTTTGAACTAATGTCTTGTCTAATTCAATTACCAGTAAGATTTTCAGTAGCTCAGCTTTTTTTTTTTAAATTCATAGATCATAAACAAACAAAAACCTAACTTGAAGATTTCCACATCACCATGCCATATCATCTTCCCCATCCTTGAATTCTCCTTTTTGAAAACAAAAGAACTCAGTGTGCTTGTGAATGATAAAAACAATAATGATAAGATCACTAAATCCAAGTTAGTCAAATAGAAGTGATCTACTTCCATGCTTTTCAAATTTAGTTTTCTCAAGGATATGCACTTTCTAATTAATGCCTCTAGTTTATACGCCTGCTCAAATTCCACCTGTTAATGAGAATTCCATTACAAGCAGGTAGAGAGAGAGATAGAGAGTAGACTACCCTTTTATTATATTCCTTGATTGGGCTTGATTGATTTTGTAATATCCTGAATTTTTTAATCTTGTGATTAGTTGTTAACTGAGGTAAAGTGGTAATTAGTGTGGGATTAGAGATTTGGATAGTTATGTGATGATTTGACTTATTGGGATGTTAAATGAATAGGTATGGGTAGAAGGATTGTGTTTGAATCGAAGCAAGTGCGCATGGTTAGAATTATTCTCACTGTGCCATGCAATGCATGGACCAAAAAATGACCCCTTAAGTCATGAATTTTAGGTGATTTTTAAAAGGATAAATCTAAAAACAAACAAAAGGAGAAGAAAAGAAGGGCAGGTCAACTAGGGCAAGCCATTTCAGGTCATTAGAATGTGCTTCTGATCAGTAACTTAGTGGGTAAGCTCTGTATAATCCTTACCTTCTCTAAGTATGAGTTATAGAGAAATTAAAACAATGAAATTTTAAGGGTTTGATTCTTGTTCAATAGTAATAAAAAGTTCTTGAGAGTTAAATTAGAGCTTTATGGCTGGTTTAGAGTTGAATGATAAAGTTTTGAACCTATAGGCTTCATTTGGCCTTAAATCAAGAGGAAATTAGGGTGAAAATCTTGTTTGAGTGAAATGAGGCTGGTTGAGGTGATGTAAAGTGGTAATCAAGTAGTAATAGACTTAAAATAGATAAATGAACAAGAATATATGATTAAATATAGCCATAAGTAATAATTATATACTTTTAGTCAAATTGGACCAAATGACTAAATTATGTCAAATGTGTTTAGATTGGCATATTGAGCATGTGAGTTGAGAAAGGAAGCTTGTGATAAGCTGTAGTGGTGGTTGAAATTCACAGGTAACTTTTCTAGTGACAGAAGGGTTGAGATAATCGAATAACTTTTTGTTTGACTATTTGTTGTAACTATGTGTGAGTATGTTATGTAATATATGAAATGGTTTTCAACTAAGCATGATTTATAGCATCTTGTGAATGTTTCATGAAATAAATTTTGATCAAATAAAAGTATTGAAAATATGCGATTT